TCCTGCTCTATTTTCTTCACAGCACTTAACATTACTTTAGACTTATTTAATGATGTTTAAATGTTTTGTCTGTCTCCTAAACTCAACTAAAACTCTTTGAAGTAACTTGCCCATTTCAAGACTGCAATCCTAGAGCCTGAGCCCTCCTGGCATGTAGCAGGTGCTCAGATGTTGTGAAGGGTGAACACAGGAGCAGGTGTAGGAACATTCTGTGCAATGATGATTATTTGTCAACGTGGAACTCACTGAGTAGCAGAGAAGGAATAAGACTTCTTAACAGAGCAGTCAGTGGCAGGCAGCCCCCGGCCCTAAAGAAGCATGTACAGTGTGGATCCCTTGAGGTGAGCCCTTCAGGACTGCTGGCTGCTATTTGCAGCCCTGCCCCAGGAAGCCCAAGGGATCATATGCAGATTGGAAAATTCAAATATCCCTTATGTTTCCGAGTGAAGAGGATGCCCGTAGATCGCCAGCAGCCTTCCCTCTCCTTCTTGGCCTAAAATGCTCCAGAAAGTAGCCACACCACAAAAGAGATACCCTGGTTGACTCAGATGTGAAGGCACCCCACCCTGGGATGGGCTCTTTATACTCACCTCTGTTCCTGGGCTCCTATGTGCACGCCCACACCACTCTCAGGGACACACACACAGGGAGAAACCATAGGGAACCTGTGTACACACATCCCCACCACTCAACAGGTACATACACACACAGGAAGGGGTTATTGGGGTCCTAGGTGCACACAACTCCCCCCCTCACCTCACAGGTACAAACATACAGGGGGAGGCTACTGGAACCTATGTGCACACCCCTCACTACTCCCAGGTATACAGTCACAAGGAAGGCCCACTGGGGACCTGTGTGCACATTCTCCCCTTGCCCCCCACTCACAAGTACATACACACTCAGGAAAGGCTACTGAGGACCTACGCGCAGATCCCCTAACATTTACAGGTACATGCAGTCACAGGGACTTGGCATAGCAAAGGAGAAAATGCACATGAAAAGGCAAAGTTTTCTTTAATGTATGCCTTTCTGAAGTGATGGGATTATTTTGCCCCGAAGAGTGTGTTAAAAGATGGTGGAGTTAAAACATGTCCTTTCTGGCCAGGTTGGGGCCCAGTCGTGAAGAAGTACTAAAATGCGGTGGGCCCGGGGCACCTGGGTGGCTCAGTTGGTTAAGTGTCCAACTTCAGCTCAGGTCATGATCTCACAGTTCGTGGGTTCGAGCCCCGCATCGGGCTCTGTGCTGACAGCTCAGAGCCTGGAACCTGCTTCGGATTCTATGTTTCCCTCTCTCTCTGCTCCTCTCCTGCTCACATTCTGTCTCTCTCTCTCAAAAATAAAATAAGCATTAAAAAATAAATAAATAAAATGCGGTGGGCCTCACTGGCCAGGAAGGAGCAGGGAGGGTGCTGGGCACACAGCCAGCCTCACCCTCAGCACCATACAATGGGGCCTGCTATGCAGCCACAAGATGCAAAATTATTAGTAATAAAAAGACCTCTTCAAGAACTAGAGTTCTTGTTGGTTCATATGCATATATTTTTAAAACATCTACAAGAGTATAAGCACACAAAATCCCAAAACTCTCCCAGTACAACAATGTCAGGTGCTAAATCTAACAATCGCAACTATTAAATTGTGGATTTAATGGTCAGCTTTTGTTTGGAATAAAATATGTGAAATGGCTTTTGATATAATCTACATTTTCTAAAAATGACCAAGGGATATTCTGAAGGAAAGAGACCAAAATTCCATTGTGTCTCGGGCTTGGCTTTCTTAAGCCAAGAGTCTATGAACCCTTTTAACGCAAGCTTGTGTATTCTGTACCTGTGTTCATTTCTTAAAAACCAGAGTCTTCAAGAGGCCTATCTCGTAGGAGAAGAAACACCCCATCTGTGTCCGCAGAGGAACTGAGTGGGCTGTAGCTCTGTGTAAGCACCAGGGACTGGCAATGCAGTTTCACCAAATCCAGGACCAGGAAAGGCATTCACTACAACACAACCATTTAGCTACCTCATTCTGATCCCCCTACATGACCACTTGGGTCAGGGCTACCACTCAAGAATTTACCTGAGAATGCTGCTGTCCCCAAGAGGGGAACACGAACCAGCCTGACCTGGCTGCTCACTGGGATCTGCAGTGGTGTCTGGCATCCTGGAAGCTGTGCAGTGGGTGAAATTGTCTTTCAGAGCATTGCAGCAGCAGGTGCAGTTCAGGTTCAGTTCACTCTGAATGCAGGTGAAGGGTGCGCAAGTAGGGCTGGAGACCTCAGGCTCTGTGTTCTAGGCGGTAGAAGCTCTCAGGGACCGACTAGACTCTTTTGGCCAGTCACTGTCCTTAGGGTCCTGCGATAGCCCCACTTAGATCAGGGGAAGCCATTCAGGAGTGCTTGTCACTGGTCTTTCTCCTCCTGTGGCAGAGGGAGGTGCCAGTCTGCAGGAGGGCTCTGCCTCAGGGCCCACACGAGGGTGTGTTTCCGTGCAGCCTGGACTCTTGCACGCTCACTCTCACAGAGGGACTGCTGTGCAAAGGAGACCCCAATCACTTCTGGCTCACAAGGCCCTTGAACCTCCCTCTTCCATAGCACCCTCCCAAACACAAGTCAGACAAACTTGGCTGCTTCCACCTAATAAACCTTGGCGATAGTTCCGTATTAGAACACACACATATAGATCATACTTTCTCCCAAGCTACTGTGAAAAACTATTGTGCAGTTCACCATAATTTGAGTAAATTTTAAAATGTCTTCTCCTGGGTCTCAGGGCTTGATGCTTTCGGTCGACCTAATCAGGTTTACCTCCTGAGACCAGGATGGGGCTGAGAAGAGAAACAAAGAGTCTGAAAGAGTGGCTAGAGTTGGGAGGGTAAGGCAAGAGACACATGAGCAGGGAGCCCCAGACAGGCAAGGAGGAATCTAGATGAAAGACAATAGGTGACACTCAACCAGCAGGCTTTTCTCTGCCACTCCCGCACCTCCCCCCACCTGCTCCCTGCCAAATAAACACAGGGCAGTACCTTACCACCATGAAAGGTGCACTTGGTAGGCACCAGGTGTTCGACTAGCCTTTTTACACATATAATTTCACCTTCTCTAATTGTCTTTGCTAGAGCTCAACTGTCTCAATGTTTTTGTTCTTGTTTAAAAAGCAATCAGCAATGCAAAGAACATGAAAAACTCCCAGACTTCTGGAACTGAGGTGAAATTCACAGCTTCCTCAACACAATTTTAGAACTAAATTTTAATGCTACACATTTCCCTGATGATGGAATAATCTACTGGCTATTGTACTTCCTCAGTTTTTCACTAAACCATATACTACAGGTTCCTTTCCCTGCCCAGATAGATTCGCTATTTATTCTTTTTAATGGCTATGTAATACCCCACTGTTTGGAGGAAGTTATTTGGTTAAATGTCTATTAGTGGCATTTAGGATGCTTTCAGGTTTTGTGCTATCACAAATAGTGATGCAATGGATATTTTAAACTTTTAACTGTGCACTGTTACCCAATTACTTCCCTAGGATGGACTTTCAGAAGTAAAACTAGGGGGTCAAAAGGTATTCGTTTGGATAATCAGATGGAATTGTTGGATAATCAGAACACGTAACACTCCACAAACACTTGCACACGTACCCCTGCTTCTCCACATCCTTACAGACACTTCTGATGTGTCACTGGGCAGAAACCACTGGTCATCTGACCTTGTATCCCAGGCCATTTGATTTTTTTGAATGAATTCCTTCTTCCTGCCCTTTGCCAAACTTTTCTATTCTGAAATAATCCCCATTTAATCTTTTTTTTAATGTTTGTTTAATTAGAGAGAGAGAGAGAGAGAGAGATGGAGAGCAAGCAGGGGAGGGGTAGATAGAGGGGGTAAGAGAGAGTATCCAAAACAGGCTCCACACTGTCAGCACAGAATATGACTTGGGGCTCAAACCCACACCATGAGATTATGACCTGAGCCTAAACCAGGAGTCTGACACTTAACTGACTGAGCCACCCACGCACTCCCCATTTTTCTTACTGATATATGAGCTCTCTCTTAAAAAAAAAAAAAAGAAAGAAAAAAAAAGTCATTAACCTCTTCCTGTATAGGCTATAAGCTATTGTTTAAAATTTTTTGATTTCCACTTATGGATTTGTCATCACTTTCTTTTATACAGGAGCTTGGTTTCCATATCTGTTTGTCTGTTTCAATAATCACATACATTTAACCATGCTGAAGCAGTCCCCAGTCCTGCTGGGCCCTCACCCCTTTCCCATGAGCACTGCACCTTCAAGCTTCTCTCCATCTCCCCAACCAAAAACAGCTCTAAGGCACGGAAGGTGCCAGAAGGGCAGGGGCTCGGTTTTCATCACTCCTGTATCTCTAAGAGCTCCCATCATGATAAGTATCTGCTGAATGAATGGAAAACTAGAACTATCTCCTCATTGGTCTCTTTGCCCCTCCATAATACATTCTCCCACCATGGCAGTCAGACTGACCTTTTAAAGATACAAATCAAGTCATACTTCCCAGCACACGTTTACACTTGAATCTAAACCCTTTTTTAAGGCCCACCAGATACCACCTGGTACCTCTCCAGCCTCACCCCCTACCTCTCTACAGCCCACCCTCCTTCTGCTCCAAACACCTGGACCTTCTTTCTGTTCTTCAGATGTGCCCGCCTGGGTCTGGGTGAAGGTTCTTAAGGCTGGTTTCTGGTTTTTCAGGCCTCCCCAATATCCCCTTCTCTGCAGGCCTGCTAAGAACACTAACACTCTCTCCCTCCAAACTCTAAACTTTCCTCCTTTGTCTTCAATGTATGAAAGCTCCGATGATATGCTAATTTTTCGTATTTCTCAAAAGAAAGGAAGCACAAAAAGAGGAGGGACCCAGTGAGTACTCCTCTCCGGCGTCTCAGGACTTGGAACGTGGGGAGGGCGTGATCCGTGCACTCGGACGCTTCAGCAATACACCCCCTCGGCCCAGCGCCACCCCTGGCTCCCTGGCACACCTGGGCCTCCGCGCTCCGGCGCTCCTCCCACTCTCGGCAGTTGGCCAGGTCGCGCCGCCACTGCTCGCAGGCTGGCCGCTCGCCGTGGACGTAGTAGTGGTGCAGGAAGTGCCGCGCGCTGCGGCAGAGCTTCCATTCAGCGCTGTAGGTCTCGCAGGGGCGCGGCGGCTGCAGTGAGAAGCTCGCCTGAGCCGGAGGCCTCTGCGCTGCCCGCCCAGATGCCCATCCCGCCTCCTCCTTGGAAGAAGGCTCGGATAATCCGGTCACAAGGTCCGAGGAGGTTCCCCCCACTTCCCGGGCGCCCCCAGCACTTACCCGCCAGCCGCCACCATCCGCCATTACGGGGCGACTGCCGAATCCCTCCTCTGAACTCGCTAGCCAATGAAAATTGAAGAAAGCCCGCACCGTATGATTGACGGATTGATGAACCAATGAACTCAGAGATATGCCCATAACTCCTCACCCACCTCCTAGTCACGAGCTAATAAACAAGACATCAGGGCAGAACAGCCAATAACACCCGGGGGCGGTGGCACGTGGAAAGGCGGGGCCCATGAGGCCCAAGGGATGGGGAGGGGGGGACCCGAGGGTAAGAGTCTGTAGTCCATCCTGGAGGCCAAAGGAATGACAGCTGCCTGGTGTCTGGCGGGCGGCCCAGGTAGCACTTCGTTACCTATTTCTGAAACCACGGGGTCCAGGCCGGTTTCATTTTCATAAACCTCAAAAGATAGGGCTCATTTTCATAAGCACATACTGAGCATCAACTCCATGTGACGAAGCTGCCATGTCTGCGGCTACAGTAGTTTCACTTGAGTGTCCACTTGAGGGTGAGGGTGAACTCACAAAATAACCTGTATTGGCTGGGCGGGGGTCTAGGGAGCCCAAAGATGTCCTGAAGGAACCCAGGCTAGTAGTGGAGGCTAGCGAAGGATGTTTCCACCACAGTGGCAGGCTGGTCCAAGGCATGGAGGCTGCGTGTGACAAGGGGCAGAGAAGAAGCCTTAATAAGTAAGTATGGGGCAGTTTGTATGTCTGATTAGGAATGAAGGCTTTACTCTGAGACATGGGAAGACATGGAAAGTTTGTAAACAAAAGAGGTCCACAAGAGGAAATAAAAGCAAAGAAGCTAGTGAATCTGAGTAGTCCTGCAATACCTATGCAGTGGGTCTCCAACTTGGGAAAACTTAGTCATCTGCTGGGGAGCCTCTTACAATGCAGTTGCTGGACCCACCCCAGGAATGAGACAGGGTCAGACTCTCAAGGTGGGCCAGAATGCTGCAATTTTACCAGGAGTCCTGCCAAGCTGGCTCATAGACCAAGCTTGAAGACAGAGAGGGCTGCAGACCAGGGGGCAGCAGTAATGACAAGGTGACCCCTCCCCTCTATATCACCAGAAGGCCCACCAAGAGAGTCCACCTGCAGCCCAGGCAAAAAGAAGTGTGGCTCCAGCAGAGCACCAGGAGTGGTTTTATTGCATACACTGTAGATGTTGCTTAGGAAAGACAAAAACCCAAGGCCAGTGCCTTACTTTAATATTCATTATGCATCAAATGATACATTAGCCAGTGTGATCCTGCAAATGGAGGCTGCCTACCCAGCAAGGAGGGATTCTATTTCAGCTAGTGAAAGAGAGATCCCCTTCAGTGGAGGGTCAGGAAAGTCACAGCAGTGCTTCATGCCTCTTAATACCTTGTCCATCATCAGTGGTGACAGTCTGGGCAATAGTCCAGCTCTTGTCTTCATGACAATCATCTATTCTCTTGACTTGATGACATGTGGGTGGACCCTGGAGCAACCATCCTGAAGGGGGCATCCTCTCTTGAGTGTTCAAGGAGCTCTGTCCAGAGATGGAATCCTCTGTTTTCAAGCAGGAGTCCTGGTACAAGAGGAGACCCTGCTCGGGCTGACAATCCCAACACAGGGTTCAGAGAACCTCACTTCTCCCTACATTCTCCAGAAGTCCTACACAGAAGCTCTTTTCTAATGGCAGGATGGAACAAGGGACACCTGCAAGCAAGTCTTCCTCCAACTTCTGGTTGGAGGCCCGGTTGGGGCAACCCATGTTGGTACCTAATCAAACATTTGGAAGCAATCCAGGTTTTAGTCATTGCCCATTTTTATTTGAAATTCTTGATGTAAAATTATTTTCAAGGAACAAAAGAGATTAAATTAGATTAACATGTCAAAAGATCTCACATTATAGAAAGTGATCTGAGACCAAATTAATATTAATAAAAAAGATAGGCCAGCAGAACCTTGGATAATTTAATACATTAAAACTGGGAGTGGGAGGTAGGGAAGGAGAAAGAGGAATGTACCTTTAGCACTTATTTATTCTAATTTGTATTTGTGCTTCATCATGAAGTTGTTTTACTGTAGAACAGATTCATTTAGGTTTATTCACTCATATTTCCATATGAAATCAAAATACAAGTGGAAATGTATTCAGATCAGGAATCCACCTTCTGATGGTTCTTTTGAAAAAAAAAAAAATCAATATGTAAAATAAAAATAGAAACACCCTTCCTCATATACTTAAATTGCAGCCAGAATAATGGGATAACCACTATTTACAGAGCACATATCTAGCCATTTTTTCTAGGCCAAAGGCAATGTTCTAAGCTATCAACCTGGGAAAGGAGAGGATTAAGTGAAAAAAGAGAAACAACACCTCAAGTTAGAGCAACCCAACCCCTCCATTGGTTTTTATCAGGAATTGGGGAACTCTGCTTTGGCTAAGGCAGTGGGGGCACCCCCAAGGGCTGAAAACAAGAAGGGGCAAGGAGGAGGCTTGCCTATGGGATCTCAGAGTGAGCTTTCTCCTTCCCAAAATCAACCACCAAGTCTGATTGTTCCACTTCCAGGTCAGACTCAGTAATTCTTAGGTAACTCTAAACAAAACACAAAGTGACAGCATCCTCTGCAACAGTCTAATCCCATCAGAGCCAGTAACTAAAAGCCATTATGTTGCAATTGATTATTTTATTTTCCAATCAGCCAACAGTCCCAACTTATGGCTTTCTTCCCTTTTTACGCAACGACTGTCCTTCTCCAGAGAAAGCGACGAATCTGCCTCCAGCTTCATCCTAAGTGTGAAGATAAAATACTATTTTCAGAAACTCCTTGGAGGCTTAGAATAAATGCTTTATTCTGTTGACTCATGTGCCAGCCACCCATTTTCCTCACTTCCACATTATACATAAGAAGAAAGGTCTTTGAAGTGGAAACGTAAATCATAGTCTACTGAATTGAGAAACAAAACCACAGAATCACAGCTATGCCTCTACCACAGCCTTTATTCTCAGGTTGAATGTACATCCTTTTGCAGAAGAATCACATTTTCAAAATGGAAAAATGTAAAAAATATAAAATACACCCCAAAAGAAGAATCATCTGTAATTTCACCACCCAAAAATATTTCCAGCCACTTTATTATATATGACTGTATATGACCTATTATACTTCCCGAGTCTCAAGTCAATGAATTTCTTTTCTCGTATAGGCTACAGAAAATTCCATCATGTGGGAGAGGCAGTCTTCCACCACTGGATGTTACTACCAGGTTTGCGGTATTGTAAACAGTTGTGGTGAGCAGTTTACTGTGTTTGTCCGCAACTCTGATTTTTTTTTTTTTTAGAAGTATTATTCTTCCATAAAAGGACTGTGTGTTATTTTTAAGGCTTTTAATATTATGGTCACTAACCAGCCCTCAGAAACATTCAATCAAGCTATTTTCCCACCAAAAGAAAGAGGGCTTGTTTTTTTCTGAACTCCTGAAAACAGCAGGTATCTTTTCATCAGTTTGTATTTGCTAGTCACTTGGAGGCGTTATCTGTGCAAGAGGATTACACACTCCATAGTACGTGCCCCTGCCTGCACTTGCCCCACCTGACCTCCATGCAGGAGTGTACTGGTGTGGTGGCAACCATGTCAAGTTGAGTCACAGCTAAACCAATCAGCCTTCCTTTTCTGCAGAGCCTTCTGTCTTGTCCTGCTGTCCCTGTGTCTGGCTTCTCTCTTCTGCATACATTCAATCACAGCAGGCATCCCGCTGTTTTTGTCTGTTTGCAGGTGCATCTCATAGGGCCTTTAAGCTGCCCTACCTGGACTGGCCATCCTCTTGGTGCTACGAATGGCTTCAGGGCTCCCTATTTCCTGGACCTAAGTCTTTCTTATTTTTTTTTTTAAATTTTTTTTTTTTAATGTTTATTTATTTTTGAGACAGAGAGAGACAGAGCATGAATGGGGGAGGGTCAGAGAGAGAGGGAGACACAAAATCGGAAGCAGGCTCCAGGCTCTGAGCCATCAGCCCAGAGCCTGATGCGGGGCTCGAACTCACGGACCGTGAGATCGTGACCTGAGCTGAAGTCGGACGCTCAACCGACTGAGCCACCCAGGCACCCCTAAGGCTTTCTTATTTCTACTTTATTCCTTCATTTTAGTAGGGTACATCCTCCAGATGCTTCCTGAGAAAGGGTGTTTGAGAAATACCTTTTTGTGAGATCCTACATATCTGAAATTAGCCTTTTCTACTCTCACGTTTCCCTGATAGGTTTGGTTGGTGTTAGATTGCTGGGGCTGCCATAACAAAATATCACAGCCTGGGTGGCTTAAACAACAGATATTTTCTCATGGTTCTGGAGACTGGAAGTCCAAGATCAAAGTGTTGACAGGTTCGGTTTCTTCTGAGGCCTCGCTCCTTAGCTTACAGATGTCTGTCTTTTTGCAATGTCCTCACACGCATGGTCTTCCCTCTGTACAGCTAACTTTCCTCTTCTTACAAGGGCACCAGTCAGACTGGATTGGGGGGCCACCCTAATGGCCTCATTTTAACTTAATCACCTCCCATAAAAGCCTTTATCTCCAAATACAGTCATATTCTGAGGTGCTGGGTGTTAGAGCTTCAACACAGGACTTGGGGGAATATAGTTCAACCTGTAAGAGTTGGGTACAGAACTTTTTAGAAAAGTTCCCTCTCAGAATTTTGAAGACACTGCTCCAAGATCTCCTAGCTTCCTGTGTCCTGCTAAAATGATGCCATTCTTAATCTGTGGTGCAGCCACTTTCTGCCTTCTGAAAGCTTTAGGTTCTCTTCTTTGCCTCAATAGGGGGCTATTTTCATTCACAGTGTTGGATGCTCAGGGGGCCCTCCAATCTGTAAACTCTGTGCCCTTTAGTCTGGGGAAATTACTTCCCTGATGGTTCCTGCCCCTTTAGTTTCTCTAATCTCTTTTCAGAACTCTTCTGATTTAGAGGTTATCAGCAGAAACTTCCTGACTACAGTCTTCACTCTGGGGTGAGCTGGCTGGCACATTCCTCAGGGTTCATCAGACTGTCCAGAGAAAGCTCCTCCAACTGCAATAAGCAAGTCTGGCAGCCATGTGTGAGCCAAGCAAGGGAAGGATATCAAGGGTGACAACATTCAGGATACAAACTGTT